CCCTGAATTTTATCCTAATTTGATGTTTTGCAGTTAGGTTGCATCCCTGCTCTTTGTGTAGCCTAATTCAAATAGTATTTGGTCTTCAAGACTTCTGGATTTCTTCTCTGGATGTAAACAAATGGATCGTAGACTTTAACGAACGGAACTACAAGGGGAAACTGCTCCCCTTCTTCCATCACTGGAGCGTTCATTGAGTAGTGGCTGCATGTCCGCCTATGATGGGGAATTGCATTCTGAAGAAATGCCACTCCTGATCTGATGAGTGTTTGTTTGTGTAGGGCCATGCCATAATAACATGCCGACAGGGGAAAGGTGTGGAGAAGTGACAAGAGTGCATTTATACATGACGCTGGAGAGTAGCCATCGATCTACTGACCAGCGCGACGCCGGAGAATAGCCACTTGCTTTTATTTTTCCCCTATCTGGCGGTGGTGTGTAACTTCACGATTTAGCACCAGAAGCGCCAACAACCCTCAGACGCCTCAGTCACAACCAGATGTACAAGAAGGCGCATCTGGCACTGAACACAGTTGCCAGTTGCAACCATAATGACCATTATAACGTGCCGACTGGGCGTGATGCCGGAGAATAGCCACTTGCAAAATAGAAAATGACACCAATATTGTGACACTAAAACAGAGCTCTGTCGACTGCACTGTGCTGGGTTTTATTTTATTCATGGACCCGTCTCGAGCTCAGATTCTAAATAAAACAATTTTCTTGTTCATTTTTATCTGCTACTTTGTCTTTTCCACGAATTTGGACTAGCTAGGACCTACTTTAAATTCACTGCAAATGCCGCAAATTATTAGTTCATAAAATGAGATGTACGAGGATTTTTATACGAACTAAATTACAATAGAGAACTGGCTGCGTAGTAATTCAGTAGTATCTAAGATCCCACCGCTTACGATACCGGTTTGCTTAATTAATATCCTGTTGTTTTAAGAAAATAGAATTTTCACTATACAGTGTCACCCCTAAAATCCCACTTTGATTCACTCTGAAGGGCTACATTCGGCTAAGCTCCTGCATTTCAGATCATAATTTACAGAACAAAAACACAGCCGACCAACAAAGAGGGAAAAGTTGAGATCATTGAACAGCCCGTCACGTCAAAGATCAGCCACTCTTGTGAATGTGATCACATTTATTTAAGCATTGTAAAACTCAATGAAATGGTACAATGTTTGCATCAGACTGGATCACACCGAGGTGTGAACTGACCGACATGTTTGTTTACCTCAAACATCTCACTCGATCTGAGCTCTCCAGCTAAACCTAAACTTACATCACTCGCTGGGGTAGAGCCTACACATTCGCTCCAGGTGGGCTCACATCGAACTGTGAATTCAAACTCTTCCCTGACCATTGCAGCAGTTAATATATGAGCAATTGCCAAAACGTGAGACTCTCTTGAGACTCAGTGGTCAAAAAAAATTTTCTTACCAATTTGACTCTCTTTTCTGTCAGTCACAGATTGACATTTAGTGCTCATATTCCTAGAGTATCAGAGCAAGGAGATGTACG